GGATGGAACGAAAGTCATAGAAAGAAAAAAACAGGTCCGTGATCTTCACACAGCAGTTACGATTGTCTGTAGGCTTTAATTCTACAAACTCTCGTATCAAACACTATAAATGAAATTAAATGCATATTTAATTAAATTCTGGTTAAATGTTAACCAAATACTTTAAAAAGGTAATATATCAAATACATGTACTATAATAAGAAATCCATGCTCCATGTCGCATGCAACTTTAAAACTAATAAAAATTCCAATCTGTGCTTCTTAAATTATAAATTTATTATGTATCAAACTGAGAAATAATACATGCATAAACATAAAAACACAAGTAAACAAGTTTTATTTTATATTCTTAACAAAATATTTAGAAGTCCCGAAACGTATTAGCCCAAGTCCCGAAACGTGTTAACCCAAGTCCCGAAAAGTGTTGTCAGGTCCCGAAACGTCGGGGTCACGAAACATCACGGTCCCGAAACATTCATAATTCGATTGTACGCCGTATTACTCGAAGTGTAATATGTAAATCTGTGTTTAGAAAAAGGAATGTTTCTTTATTTTCTATTGTAATGTTATAAATATTTCTCACAGTTCTAATACTGCATCTTAAATGTGTATTGTAATCTCTGACAAAGCTATATGCAATATGTCAATTTGAAGAATAAAGTTTTTCATAATTTGGTGTAAATGTTTCATGGGAAAACATTTTGCACGATTTCCCGTCATGAATGAATGCTTTATCATTTGTACTTTAAAAGAGACATATTTTAAAAAGAAAATTTACACTTTAAGTTAAGACATTCGTTGTCTTACCTTACAATATGAATTCTGTGTTGACACAATCTGCTTCTTTTACTATTTGAGTGAAGTTTAGAGCAAATCTTAATTTTCTGTACACGCTAGCCGCTGATTGGTCGAAATCGAATTCCCGATTTCAATTGGATAATGCCCATTCTGAGTCAATAAATAAATATTAGTGTCACGCGTGCGGTGACTGTTTTTGGGGGCTTGGTTTTATTTTTCCAGATCAATAAATTGTGGACAAGAAAGATTTTTATTTATCAAATTGTCAAAGACCCTTCTCCTCAGAAAAAGAAAATTTAATAAGATATTTTGTCTACAAGATGTACATAAACATCGATTTTCTTACTAGCCTATGCCTATGGTAGATTAATTGCCCATGTAGCACAAAACTTTTTCATAACAGTATATTCCGGTTGTATTCAATAACGTTTTTGACATAATGTTTGAAAAATGTTTTTTATAATGTTTTATTTAGGTTATTAGAACGTTTTTAAAAAACGTTTCCCAAAAACATTTTTAAAATGCTTTTCATAACGTTTATTAATGCTTGGAAGGAAGTTTTTAAGAAAACATTTTTGCATAACATCTTATAATGATATTAAGAATCATTTTTTTTTAATTTAAAAAGCATGATACGTGTTTTTTTTTATTGTGGGAAATATCTAAATCACAATATGATATTAAGAATGTACACAGTGCGTGGTTTTTTGTGTAACGTTGACTCAAAGTCTAAAAATATTGATTTTTAAATTGAATGAATTTTTTTTTAAATTCTGGGTACAAATGTTACAGGAAAACATAAAAACATTGTCTTAAATTGTTTAGAAACCATTGTTAAAACGTTAAGGAAGCAACAAACATCTATAATAATTTAATATCAAAATGATATAAATTGGAATATAAATTCTGAGTGATTTTTCAGGACATATCACTAATTAAGCCACGGAGCAGCAAAATCGTCGACGTCACAGGCATTATGAAAAAATGTATTAACTATTGAGATTTTATTTTCTCAACATTTTCCCAGGAGTACCTGTACAGTTTGAGTTACCTTATCTACACCGTATCTCAAAACACCATTTCTTGTCCAGCGTAAAATTTATAAAAATAAAAAAGCAAAGAATATTCTTTCTTTTTTGTTTTAAAACCAAAAACTGCAGGTATTTATGAGACATAGTGTGATATTGGTGACTCTCAATCACGTTCTGTACAGTCTAGATAAAGTTTTTGTCGATAATCTTCTTCCCGTCCTCCCGTATAGCCTTTTTAAAGAGGTCTAGCGGTCTAAAAATTCAATTTGCTTTTTGCGGACGAATGTGACATTTGAGAAAATACTGTAGTCGAAAAATATCGCGAATTATAGAAAAATTAGTGAGTTAAATTTTGGATTCTGCAAGCTTTTGCTTCAATTTTTTGTCGTGCTCCTTCCTCTCCATCAGCGATATCAACATACCGAAAATCTTAGTAGAATTTTTTTTGGAAATACAGAAATTTTGCCCAAAATAAATTGGAATCTTAAAGAGACATATTTCTGTAAAATTTCATAACTAAATGACGTCTGTAAGAGTAAATAATAGCAAAGTCCGCGTAATTTTTGAACGGCCCTCGTAAAACTAAATCTATTCTCATAAAGTTTTTGTTTGATATTTACAACCCAATAATCAGAGTGTCTGCCGGAATATTCACATTAATTGAAAAAATATTCAAAACACATTTCTAAAATACAATTGTCAGTTTTAAACAGCTTGGACCAAAATTTAAAAATGCGAAGAATGCGAACAATTTTCATAGGCAGTCTGCCAGTTTCAACATAATTCATGGCAAAATTTCTAACACCTAAAACATATTTAATAAAATCCAAGTGCACTTTTTCAATATCACTAGCATTGTGTCTACTCTATATTTCACAACCATAATTCAATATGCTTGCAACATAAGTATCAAAAAGTGAAAACATTGTCTCAGTATTTAGACACATTTGGTTCATTTTTTATTTCACTGAAAACATTGCTTTTCTACCCTGATTTGCCATCTGTTTTTGTGTATTATTAAATTTTCCATTATACTTCAAAAATACACCGAGATATATAAATTGGTCATCAATTTCAATTGATTCGCAATTTAAATGTCATTTTTCTTCCTTACGTATTTTACTTGTAAAAAGATTGTGGGTTGTTTTTACGTAAGTATTCTAACATGTTCCCTTCAACACGCTGGTAGTTTCTCCGGAGCTTTGCGGAGAGAATCTTGTATTCTCTCTTTGATTTGAGCAATTTATGATGAGTGTCCGTTCCTTTATTTTTGTTAAAAATACGAAGGTCTGTTTTATCAGGTCGAGGAAACTACCTTATATGGATATTGTTGCGATTGCGCACAGAGGTGCTCACAGCAAACAATGGTCCTATCCAGTGAATGAGCCGAAAAGCATGATGGTCTACTACATGTTTATTTTTACTACAAACACGTGGGTCAGAAAAATTTAGGAATGCGAATTCAAATGTCTGCGGGAAAGTCAGCTAACAGTTTTTTGAGATGTGTTAATGCAAAATACGAAGATTAGGTACTAATTAAGATTCTCCATGCCCACATTAACAAACAAAGTCAGTTTTCCTTGTTAAATACTTCTTTGAAATATCGCTCACAAAGTCTTCACAAGTAAATAAGACTCAAGTTTTTTAACTCCATATTCGTTAATTTGCCATGCAACTGGTCAAATTAGCTGTTGCTCACTTATTTGTTAATAGAAATTAAAAGTTGCATTTTATAAACAAAAAAAAAATTAAGTCGCACTTTATTATTTACCTGTTATATAAAATCCTCATGCACGTTGATCATAGAACGTGAGTAGCATATATTTCGAGATGTATACGTAGTAAAGATTGACAATAAGTGAGCACACTTCATAGTTGATTTTTAGGACCTAGTAATCACGTGAAATTGACTTTTCACTGACAGTATAGCACAGGGAAAGCTGTAAACAAACGATTGTTCAATGCAGTGGAGAAAACCCTAATTTTTGTCATTATAAATCATTTGTATATAAATGTGAGCATGGAATTAGTAGATAATGATGTTCATATTGTATTAAGTGTAAAAAATGCTTGGAAAAATGCATCACGTTTTTCCGAGAGCGATTTAAAAAATTGGCCTTTTAGCAAGACACGTGTAGTATTTTTGTAGTAAACCATAATGCAACTCATTGAGCTGATTGGTCGATTTGTTAGTCACGTTGGTTCCTCACTTAACATGTAAATTTATTCTGACGTCACAGAAAATAGTTTCCTCGACCTGTTTATAAACGTGGTACTTTCTTTTCAAATCAGGTGTCGCCCAGGGTTTATCAATGGGCGTTCTACATGAGTAATTTTCTTTACTATACCGTGTCGCTGTGTTGATGTTAATCTCGACGAAAGGTTCCATGGCTTTAGATATTTCTGTCCTAAATAATTCAATAGATCTATCCATTAATCCCAGCTAACACAAAAACATTTTTAAAATGTTCTTAAAACATTTTCAAAATGTTGCGAAACATTTTTTAAAATGTTTTAAACACGTGATTTTGTATGGTTTTTTAAACGTTTTTAAAACATTTTAGTGAAATATTTCAGCAAATGTTGTCAGAACATTTTCTTAAAATGTTGCTAAAACATTTTTCAACAATGTTTTAATCACGTGATTTTGTATGGTTTTTTAAACGTTTTTAAAACATTTTAGTGAAATATTTCAGCATATGTTTCCGGAACATTTTCTTATAATGTTACAAAAACATTTTTCAACAATGTTTTAATCACGTGATTTTGTATGGTTTTTTAAACGTTTTTAAAACATTTTAGTGAAATATTTCAGCATATGTTTCCGGAACATTTTCTTATAATGTTACAAAAACATTTTTCAGCAATGTTTTAATCACGTGATTTTGTATGGTTTTTTAAACGTTTTTAAAACATTTTACAAAATATTTCAACAAATGTTATCATAACATTGTTTTAAAATGTTACAAAAACGTTTTCAAAAATGTTTTATTCACTTTAATTTCAATAATTTGTTTGGTTTGTAAAACGTTTTTAAAACATTTTAACATGTTTAAGTCAAATGTTACCAAAGTATTTTTTCCTCAAATGTCACTTTTTCTCATTAAATAATGATATATTTATATTTTAAAAGAAATAAACACAAATAATATTTTATGTTTGAACCTTTAATACTAACCCATATTCAATATGTAAATCACATTTAAGTTCCATTATCGGTACAAGTTTAACTTATTTTCTTTCAAATCAGCGGGTTTAAAGGGTGAAAACGGCGTCTAATCCATTCACTGAATTTTAAAAGAACAGAATCACAGAAATCCTATGTTCACTGTATAGGTCGAACAGAGTTAGACTTTAGAATCACATACACTGAAAACGCTGACAAGGAATCCGCCCCTCAGAAAGAATATCACGGCCTGTAAAGATAAGGAAAGTTCATCTTATGATTCTTAAGATGATCAATGAAAATATACAAAAATATTTTAAAATAATTATATAATTATATTATAATTTAACATGTTTAAGATCTTTCCACTTTTGCATTAATAAAAATTAAGCATAGAAATATTTATTTTGACAATAATATTATTGAATAGTAATAGTATTAACGTACACCTTTGCCTTCACCAAAGGCGGGTCTTTTGAATGTGGGAATTCAAACGGATGATGGAACTAACACCATGCTGTAAAGTAATTTCGTTTTTAAATCAACATATTGCTTGATGATTAATATTTCACAAATACAGTAAATACTAGTATTTGAATCAAGGATATAACTGTATTGCCTTAAGTATGTAACATTCAATTCAAATACATGAATAACCTTAACTTTGTCTTTCCTACATACATTTGTATACAGTCCCGTGAGGATCCGGGTTAGAATAGGTCCTCAGTACCCCCTTGCTTGTCGTAAAAGGCGACTAAATGGGGCGGTCCTTCGGATGAGACCGTATAAACCGAGGCCCCGTGTCACAGCAGGTGTGGCACGATAAAGATCCCTCCCTGCTCAATGGCCCTGAGTGCCGAGCATAGGCCCAAATTTGCAGCCCTTCACCGGCAATGGTGACGTCTCCATATCAGTGAAATATTCTGGAGAGGGACGTTAAACAGAATACAATCAATAAATCATTTGTATACATTGTATCATTGATCATGCACTAGTAGTATAAAAGTCATTTTAAAATATCTTTTAAAGTCTGTGATAAAAGAATAATTCTTACCATTCAGAGTTAATAAATCCCCAGGTTATTTTTGTGGTTTATAAGATGCAAAGTTTTCTCATTCAAATCGGCAAGGAGTAAGCGCGCACATCTTGTTTACCAGAATTCAAAATTTGGCCTAGATAAATTAAGCTGCAAACCACTATACACTATAACGCGCTTCCCAGCAGGAGAATTGCATAACAAGGTTATCATGACACTGAAGCTGACCAGTGTGCCAATCCTTATCTAATGCCTCAGAGTTAAATTCTGGGAGTGGATCACAAATTTGACGAAGAACATTTTTTAAGAAAAAAAGACATATTATTATATACTTTTTTTTAAATTGATTAATTTTATTTATATTTTAATTTGTTTTCAATTCCTTTCATTTATTGACTTTTTGACGGATTTTGTTAATTAAATCTAAAACTTTATACATATTTGATTAATCAATAAGCCAAAAATAGAAATTATTATAAACTATACGGGAAAAAAAATTTCAATTAAAAAATTACAAGTCCTCATTTCATTACTATTCTCTCTCTCTCTCTCTCTCTCTCTCTCTCTCTCTCTCTCTCTCTCTCTCTCTCTCTCTTTAGCAAACTCAATTTTAGGAAAATTGCAAGCATTGCAATTATTTGAATTTTTTAAAGAAGATTTTGAAAGTAACATTACAAAATGTTGTAGCAATAAAAATGAAGTCTTAAAAAAAGAAAACAAATTAAAATGAATGTTCTAGAAACATTCTCACAACATACTTCTTAAATTACAAAATGAATTATATAAACGTTTTAGAAACATTTTGAAAATGTTTCCAAAAAATGTTAAAAAACTATTATTACGTAAAATGTTTCAGTTGTAGTATAAAGATCTTTTTTATTTGATAATTTAAATAAACATTTTCACTGCCTAAAATACCCGAAATTGAACGTTGAACTAACAGCGATATTAAGAATGTTTTAAAAGTATTTTTAAAATGTTCCTTCCAAATCTTTCAGAAACGTAATATTGAATGTTTCCAATTTACAGAAATATAATGTTTCATTTCATGTTTTAAGAATGTTTTTAAAACGTTATATAAAATCTTTAATATTTAAAGATAGACATACTTTTTGAATCATTTTTAAAACGCTTCAAAAACATTTAAGAAAAGTGTTCCTTAAACAATATTACGAATGTTTTAAAAACATTTTGACAATGTTCCATCCAAATATTTCAGAAACGTATTGATGCAATGTTTCAGATTTATGGAAAAGAAACGTTTCATTTAATGTTTTAAAAACGTTTTTAAAACGCAACATAAAAATCATTAATATTTGAAAGCTCAACATACTTTTTGAATCATTTTTAAAACGTTTCAAAAACATTATAGGAAAATGTTCTACAAGGATTTTATCATAAGCTTCTTGAAAACATTCTAAAATGTTTTTAGAATGTTATGACCGGAAGAGGAAATGTTTTTAAAATATTTTTAAAATGTTTAGTCTGAAATGTTTCGAAAAAACCTTTTTACAACGCAAATAAAATGTTATGAAAATGTTTTGTGCTACCTGGGTTGTTTCTTGATTTTCAGTCTCCGGAAGTTGTATTCCGGATTCTAATACATCTAATACCTCTAAATGTGTTAAAAGACTACTTCTGGCATCTTCTGAATACTCTGGCTTCCACTTAAATATTCGAGATTGGAATCTTTCTGTATTTGTGTTTTCAATATTTACCTCACATTTGTCAGAATCTTTAATTCTTAGCTGTACATGTAATGGAGCGTGATCAGAAAGTGTCGTAAAGTTTGACACACTAAATTTTTCAACAAGATCAAAAACATCTGGGGTATATATACAGTAGTCAATAACACTTAATCCCTTCGTTCCCGTAAAGATGAAAGGAGAAATCTCTGTCTAAATCTACTGTGTCGTCCGTTAAGTATTCTTAAACTGCTAGTCTTACAGAGATTCAAAAGTTATTCCAAATTCATTTATTCCTCTGTCAGGATTAATACGAAGAGGTAATAAAGAATCCATTTCGTACGAAAACATTTCTGTCACTTCTTGTAAAATTTCATTATCAAGTATATCATCTGCAATAAAGTCGTCCCTGTCCCCTGTTCTAGCATTAAAGTCACCTATCAGCAAAACTTTACCAATTGACATATAGGAAATAATTTGTGTTTCCTATTCCAAAAAGAGATCACAGTCATATTGTTTATAGAATGAGGAGTTATTTGGTGGAACATAAACACAACCGATATATAAATCACTGTTCGTGTTGTTTAATGTTTTGCTGATTGTTAATCATATGAAGGAATGGTACTGATTTTTAACAACACTAACAACTTGTTTCAGATGTTTGCGAATCATAACAACTGTTCAACCACCTTGTATAGCTTAACATTTCATTCAAGGAAATTAAAGAAAAATTCGTAGTCTGTTACTTGTTTGTCGTAATGTTTTTTCTACCCAGCATTCAGTTAGTAGTACACTATCATAAGGGAAGATAAAACTTCGGAAACTTCTGTCTTCAAAATTGGAAAAATCGCCATTTATGTTCCAAGATAATATTTTTAGATTTTCTTGCACTAAGCTGCATACATTCTTCTGTTTGTCCCATCTGTTCTCTATCGTTTCCCAGTATTCGTCGTCCTCTTGATGATCGTCTTGGGGTTCCAGCTCCGTTAATGATCAGTTTGTTTTTAATGAGTCTTGCTGTCTTAACCCGTAGCCTAACTTCATTCATTTTTGGATACAACTGCTTTCGTTGCTCATATTTCTTTTAGATACTGTTCCTTGATTTTGAATAGTGTGAATGACAACTTTGTAGCGTTTTCTTATCCTTTCCTTCTCTCTGAATGAGGAGAACTTAACCACGATAGGTCTCGGGTTTGTGTTTTCTCGGTTAAGCCGTCTTATCCTGTTTCCAATTCTGTTTCGAAGAAATCGTTTATCAGTCTTACACAATTCTCCCTCCTATTTCCAGAATACTCAGCTAATCCAAAGAACAACAGGTTATTTTCCATACTTCGGCACTTGAGATCCGTGATAGAATCCTCAACATTTTTCTGTGACTGTTATATTTTTCCTACTTTTTTTCCATTTCTTCTGTGTTCTTTTTCAAAGCTCCCATGGTGTTCCCCATGTTACCTATTATTTTCTATAGAATGTTGATGTCCGATTCAAATGTATTTAACCGTTGCGTAATTCCCGTGATTTTTTTGTGTATTTCATCAACCTTTGTTAACTTTAGGGATTGGAGAGTGTTTGGGTTTGGGTTTGTAGGGGGGAAGGTCATCATGAATTCACTAACACGAACCTAACTATCTTTTGTTTTTTGTGTATCATTTCCCGATTTTGTTTAACTCATATCCATTTTACATTTCTGAAAACCATCTTCATCATTGCCACTACCTGTATTCACATCTTCCATACCTTTATTCGTGCTGTGTACCTTGACAGACTCAACTTGTCTTGTCCACTGTCCGCCATCGCAGTACAGTTAAGGTGCGCAATGGAAATATCGACTAAATTGTATTCGTAATCGGGATGGCGATTATTTTTAGTACATTATTTATATCGGATAATTGTAATTAGGATTAATAACTACATATCGATGACGATTATATTTTATATTCAGACTAGTCACGTGATGCGGCAGTCTCGCGATTTTAGCACATTGAGTTGAATTATTGATGTTACATATAAATATCACTAGTGCAAGGCATAACCAAGTTAAATTTCCAAGTTTAGTATATAAATATTTTCAACACGCATTGTAGTTTCTAAAAAGTGCTGCGATCCTGTCTAAATTCTGCAATTTCATTGTTAAAATTATACTGTATGAACGAATACTATATTTTTTGCTGGTCAGCGGCATGAAATATTGATAAATTTAAATTGTTTTTAAGATTTCATCAGGATCGCAGCACTTTTCAGATACCTTAATAATTCTATAGTTGAAAAAAGCTTACTTTGATACATAGAGTGTATGCCCTTGCACTAGATCGATTTATTAAGAACCCCCCCCCCACATTACCCTCCGATGTACAAATATACGGCAGTGTCAATTAAATACGTAATGTACAGAAAATATATTAATAAAATAGTGAAGAAGACATTGAATTCAAGTTATTGGCCCTTAGAATATCTGTAAATAATATTTTATTTAATAAGAGAAAACATATTTTGTTGAGAAAATATTACTTGATCTGTCTCTCACTGCATACAAACTACGTCACATTGTAAGAAATGACGTCATATTGATAAGTGTACTGCGATCAGTGACTTGTTTATAACTTGTTATGTGGGATTTAACTAACGACAAAACAACACGCTGTAGTAAGTTTTTATGTAGTTTGATGATTCCTACTGGTCAAATTATCAGATAAACTAATTTTGTGGTATTTTAAAGAAATGTTGTATGACGTATATTGTGTATGATATCATAGTAAAGTTTTCCCGTACAAATTAGGCTCCGCCTCCTTTTTGTAACCTTAAAGGTCAACTGAAAAGATCCTTCACTTTCAATTAATTTACCCCTTATTATCTTCAAATAAATAATAGAATTCAGACTACTTTACTTATTTGGTTATATCTGAATGTATTTCTGAAATATTTACGGTAAAAGTTGTCACACCTGAAATCTGACCTAAAATTGCATGCGAGTTATGCCCCTTGACACGAACCCGCCATATTGAAACTATCTACGCTGAAACGTTTTGATACAGACGATGGGAGATTGAAACATAAAATATGGTGTTGTGTGCTGCACCAAACTGTGATATCCGATTTGGACAGGGTGTATCTATGTTTTCTTTCCCCGAAGATCCCAAATTATGTCATATTTGGGTAAGAAAGCTCAAAACTGTTAATTACTGGCCATCCAAACACTCATTGACAAAGCTTTGCGAGCGACATTTTGCCCCCGACTGTTTTGTTATTGAGCCTTCAAAAGCGCGATGCATGGGGTACAGTCGACTGCAGTTAAAAAACGATGCCATACCTAGCATCTTCGACTACAGACCATTAAATACTAAAGGCCATAAAAGGAAAACAGCAGATGTAGATGTTTCATATGTACCAAAACAAGGTCGGAAATCGAATGCTCTGGAGAAAAGGCGTGCAATTGCAGTAAGTTTTTTAAAGTTTAAAAATGGATCTACAAACATTTTAATGCGTCCATAATTGTTTACATTGGTTTTAATATAGATTAGGTTTGTCCATCATATTGTACTTTAAATTACGAGGTTATCTTTATAGACAACTCCTGTATGAATTAGGCCTAGCCTATATATATGGGGTTATAGTTACATGTACTGAAAAATTAATCACTATGGTAAACTTTAATTATATTTTTAATCTTATACAGACTCAGAACCTTAACGAAGATGCAGAGATTATTCTTCCTCCTCCTAGCCAGTTTCAGGACAGTCCAGAAACTCTAAACACAGAAACCAGCTGTCAAAGCGACACAATGACTTTTGCAATGTCTTCACAAACTACTTATGGGTTGGTGGTAAGTTCTGTTACATTTGTATTGATTTGCCACTTGATTGACATAGAGCATTTTGAATTTATCAACTTATTACAATTTTTTAATTAAATAATTTTTTTTACTTGTAAATGTCTTATTTTTACTTAACTTCATGAATTTTAGAAACGCAGGCATGTCTCTATACAGACAGAGATTCAACCCAGTACAAAATCTTGTGGTACCCAAACTGAAACACTGCTTACATTGGATGCACCTGAGGACCTTGATGAGAGCATTGAGTCACTGGTCAGCACAGATTCTGAAGTTTCAGAATGGATTCCACCTGATACTGATGAAAACAATAACACAGATCATCATGATGTTCCTCCAAGTCACTGTAGCAGAAAATTTATTGTGTTTGAAGAATGTTTAGACCAGCTTCTCCAGATTTGTACGATGTGCGGACAGAAGTGTGACATTAGGAAAACCATAGTTGGAACTCTGTTGTTTGTGTCTAGGGTATGTGCCTGTGGGGAGTCTTTCACATGGGGATCCCAACCCTTGACTGGATCCATTCCTACTGGAAACTTGATTTTGGCAGCAGCAATTTTGATTAGTGGCAGCAGCATAAATCAAAGTTTGACCATGTTTCAGCATGCCAATATATCCTGTTTCTCAGAGAGAACCTATCACAACATCCAACAGCATTATCTTGTACCAGCTGTTGAAAGGGTTTGGAGAGCACATCAAAATGCAATATTTGATGTAATAAGACAACAGAACGTAGCTGTAGTTGTCGGAGGAGATGCTAGATGCTGTTCACCAGGACACACGGCTAAATATGGATCATATAGTTTGATGGACCTGGAGCTGAGACAGATACTTGATGTTCAACTAGTTCAGGTAAAAAGAATGCAGAACCTCTGTTTGCTGTATTTTACTTTACTGCACTTGAATGCATATATTACTTCAGGCCTAAAATAAAAATTTGTTTGTTTGCAGTTGCCTACCGACCCACTGAAAATGCACCCGACCCAAACTTTTTTTTAGCCATTTGGTAAATTAATTTTTTTTCAATTTTTTCAGGATATTGAAACTGTTTCATTTTCAAATTTTGACTTTTTTCAGTGGTTTATAACAATAGTGGAGCTTATTTGTGTTTAGTAGGCCAATGAAAAGCTTTATTATTTATTATCTAATAAAATTTTTTTTTAAATCTTTATCTTTTTTTCCAAAAAAAAGAATGCCTACCTACCGACCCAGTTTATAAATTATAGGTCGGCAATTGCAAACAAAGAATTCTTTAAGCTTGCCCTCAACATTCAGCTCTGAATATGTTATGTTTAAATGTGTTAATATGGTTCGAATTCTCAAAACAATATATGCTTAACTTTTATAGAGCAATGAAGTCAAAAGCTCCTATTGGATGGAAATGGAGGGTTTGACAAGGTGCCTTAAGAGAGTGGAAGAGGAGAGTGTAGTTATTAGTGACCTCGTTACTGACAGACATCCCCAGATTAAAGCTTACATGAAAAAAGAAAGAAGTGATATCAACCATTGGTTTGATGTGTGGCATATGGCCAAAGGTAAACTCAGTTTATATGTTACACTATTGTTTTATACAATCTAAAATGCATTGGGTATTCCTCATTGAAGTTATTAAACTGAACAACTATATATAATATCATTTAATAATTGATATGTGTTTTTTAGGGGTGTTTAAAAAGTTGGAGGCTATTGGGAAGAAAAAAAAGTACAAGCAAGTGGGTGATTGGTCACGGTCAGTTTCAAACCACCTATACTGGTGTGCGGCATCTAGCGAAGGAGATGGTGAATTGGTTTCTGAGAAATGGCTGTCTATCCTCAACCATATCACTAATGTTCACGAGGGTCATGGAAAGCGATTCCCCAAGTGCTTACATGGTGACTTGGAGGACAGAGATTGGATTAAGAAAGGTAACTTTGTAAGCATGGGTTTGAAAAATAACAAAAACATTTCTGAGTCCCTAGTTTGCAGATATACATTATAGGTTAGTACATTAGTATGAAGCATTATTGATCTAAACTACTAAATTATATTCTTATTTCAGGTAGTCTAGCTTTCCAGGAGATGGAAAAGGTTGTTAATGGCAGACTTTTGGTACAAGACATCAAGAAACTCTCCCCTGCAGAGCAAACTTCAGCCCTGGAAGCATACCACAATGTTGTGTGTCATTTTGTCCCTAAAGCTCTGCATTTCTTTTATGGTGCAATGAAGGCCAGGTAAGTATTTTCTCCTTTGATTCAAAACTCAATGCTAAAAATGTTTTTAAAGATTTTAATCATAAATCACGAATGACACTGTTCTTCTCTTTTTCAGAATATACATTGCAGCCCTTCACTTTAACGAGAACTCCAGCCGGGATCAAGCTGTGAACAAAAATGGACAACTGATTTATTCTGTGTCATATCCCAAAGGCAGAAATGGAGCTGGCATCCCAAAGGAAGTCAAAGTTAAACAAACATACAGTAAGTAAAATTTATAAAAACTGTCATATAACTTAATACATCTAGTATATACTAGTTTGTCTTTTAAGTTAACTTTATTCCTTTCATATCTCTTATAATTTATTTTTCTCTTTTTTTTATACAGATTATGCAATGGTTTTAATGCAAGAAGTGATCAAAATGAGGCTAGAATTTGGTTCGTACAGTGAGTCCAGAAAGAGTCGTGAGGCTGCCATGGTGAACTGTCCTGCCCCAATTGCATCCTCGTACCAACATGTCCCAAAGTCAGAACTTGTGGAGCGACATATCTGTTGATTTAATAAAAAATGTTAGTTTACTTACAATGAACTAGTAATCATGAACATACAAACAAATTGAATTGTGCTCCAATGTAAATAATTTTTCAGCTTGTAAACATCATTAATTTCCTAAGCTGTAAAAAATAAAATTGTCTTTGAGTCATTTAAACAGGGATAATGTTTTTGCTTATTAATACATGTATTACAATCCTTGAAAGATTCCATTGATGCGTACCTAGGAAATTCCAGTTGGATACTTAAATCCACAGTATTGCTGAGATGGAAAAGCAGTTCTAATTTTTGTTACTACATATGATGACAATATCTTCCTGTTGTTTTTCCCCAAACGTTGCCATATCCACCTCACAAATCGTCGATATGCAAGATGCCTGTAAACACTAGGAAAAGACAAACTAATCAGAACTTACGACAAGTGCACAGTTAAATTCAGCGAATTTTTTTTGTGGTTCTTGTTTTTTGTTTTATTTGAAATGTATGCCTTAAGCCCTTTACAATTACAGTACACTCCCTACTCACACAAACATTCATGCAAAACCAGCTCATTTTTTTTCAAAATTCTTTGACATAAGATTATGATTATTAAGAAACTGGCAATTCAAATAATTTTTAGAATTATAAAGTATACACCTTTTTTTAGTGCTGATTATTAGTTTAGACAGTATTTAAATTCTGAATGTAACACGATTTTTGATTGGCTAGAAAATTACATTGTAGTTCAAACTGTATACCCTGGGTTGCATACGTCACAATGACTTTCATCAAAAACATATCAATTCGCTTGACTTTACACTTAAATTTTGTACAATTTAATGTCATATTTGAGGTGAAATTGTCTATTTTCCTAGTAATTAATTAATTATAAGAAATGAGCTTATTAGCTACTCAAGTTATACTGAATAACCATGGTTGGAACGCTAAACATTTTTACACAAAAAATATAGCGTAAACTGTCTCAATCCAGGTTATACTGTATAACTTGGGTAAATATTAAACTTGTTACTTAAAGGTATTTCGTTCAATCAGAATCATCTGTATGGATAGAATAAAATACTACTTCTTTATTTGTATTGCTAGGATTACCTTACAATTTTACAAAAAAAAAAACGTACCTGTGTACCAATTCATTTTCTTCCAGTTGTCCATTTTCTTCTAGATATTCATAGAAGGATGTCTCTAAAACCCATCTGTTGAGGCAATTTGCAGCAAAACCCTCATGTTCGGTGATGCAGGTTCCTCCTCCCTCTTCAATCCTTGACTCAATGTCAGCATAAAAGTGGCAACATTTGCATTCTCTTGCAGTTGGCATAGAAATGCAGTTTTTACAGGAACACCTGCACCCAAAAATTAAAAATGATTCCCTCACTACAAGTGTGTAAATTAAGATTACCTTTCATAATGTTTAAATTATTTTTGTAAAATCCCTTCACTTTGTTTATACTTATTTTTTGTTCAATCTAAATTGTTTATACAAGAATGAAATCATCACATATATCTTAAATGGCTTTTTCAACTCTTAAGTATTTTTTTTATTATTCTTGTCCTTCGTCGCTGTTCAACAGCTCTCCTTTTGCTTCCTTTTCATTGTATACATGTCATGTGTATACCAATATAGGGCAATATGCTGATATGTACATGTACGTTACATGATGAACTCTTAATCCTAGAGTCAGCATACTTAAATCTATTTCTAAATACAATATTCATAGACTTTTTCTGTTAATCATTTCATAAACTTTTAGTTAATACTACGTTAAGATACATGTATGACTTTGTACCAGTGCATGTCTGAAGGTAGGTGTTCATCGTCGCTATGGACGCTGCCTTATACCGACTGACCCGAGTCACTTTCATCATCCAGTGGCTATTTTGCTGTCTCTTGTCTTTTAATTGGCTCGTATTGATAAGGCTGCACAGTCATTTTAATAGTTAAGTCGATTTCTGGTATACTTTCGTCCGTGTCACTTTCGGTAGATTCGTACAGCATGGGCGACGCCATGTTCCACTAAAGGGCAGATAACTCATATCGGACCGTTCTACCTGAGTTTCGAATTTGAGAAATTTTACCAGTGTATCACCGGGGTAAAAAAAAATAATCATGGTACAATTTTTGTTTAGGTATCAACTCCCCAAATAATAAGTTAAAACAGGCTTTAAGAACCTTTTCAGTTGACCTTTAACTGTACTGCGATGACAGATGTATTCACCCCTTTGTTTGAACTAACGTAACTTTTATGACAAACACGGTTTGTTGGGTTACTTTTTTTTTTCTTTTGCGCTTATTCCTGATGGTATAAGGCATATTCTATACCATATAAGCTTCATTACAAATCGCACTTTTCATATCAAATCAATTTACTTGCTCAAACTGCGAGCTGTGGGCTACTGACCAGTCCGCCATACCAACCGCAAGTTCGGTTAGAACACAATCTTCGGTTATACACAATAAAGGGATATTGAAAGGTAATGGTTAAACAAACAATAGGTCACTGACACCTCCATCACATGCAGAGACAATGGATACAACAATGTAAAATGGAAAACAGTAGTTGATCATTCATTTCATTTGATCAATTTTTATTGATTGTTTGTACATTGTTTGACGTCCCTCTCGAGGATATTTCACTCACTTGCCGATGGAGAGCTGTAAATTTTGTCAGGGACTCTACTCGGCACTCAGGGCCATTCAGCAGGGAGGGATCATATTCGTGCCAGCACCTACTGCAACACGGGGATTCGGTTTATACTGTCTCATCCGAATGACCGGTCTCCACGTGCAACAGTGGGATTTCCAACCTGCGTCATAAGGACCAACTCCTTACTTCGCGTGATTAGAGCAGACGCTCTAATTCGCATATTTAATCAAATAGTTCAAGAACGAACCTCACAATTAATACATATTTATTTTGTTAGTTAGAGGATGTAAAAGAGGGTGATCTCCCCTTTATGGGATTAGTACCATATATATTTGAAGAATGTGGGGTTTTTATATATTTTTTATGTTTTTGTGACTGGGCTTCATTTTTGTAGTTTTTTAAATCAAAAAAAAAAATGTTTGCTTTAGATACACAACCCTGACTTTCAGCGTTATTTAATATTTTTAACAAAGTAGTCAAAATGTAACATTGAAGAGGTCCTTCCATCCAATTAGAGAAACATGGTTTGGTTTTCAACATTGGTTAGTCTCTCTTTCCACTTTTTGTTTTCTCGTTTGTTTGTTTCGTTTCGTTTAAATTTATTTTGTTTATGGTTTTTTGTCACAATATTTCAGAGGGTTTTGACACCATACCCCCGCTTCCGAGAAAAACATTAAGATCCTCTCTCTCTCTCTCTCTCTCTCTCTCTCTCTGTTTCTTCGGGGAGGAATGCGCTTTTCAGTTGTTTAGATTAAAAGAAGTTGCAGGAAAGGCGTTCTATAATTCTTGATATCAAAGATGGCGGGAAGTGCATCTTCTAGTCCATCATAGACTCTAACTCTAGATCTCATTTTCAAGGTTATGCTCCGAAAACGATCGATTTTTAGGCCGAGGCAAGCTACTGACAGATAAGTTTGTTACAGGGATTTCACCAACCTTATTTAAAGTCAGCATCACTTACATGTTATGGTCGCTATATTGATCTTTCACAAATATAACCTATTATTGGATTCATTTCGACCGATGTGTTTCATTCTAATTTTCAGGCTTTTAATGTTGTTTTTTATACTGAATTTTACTAGATGGCATGTTATGCCCCCTGATCAATATAATAGTATATAGAGCTCACTTTCTAGACACCAGATATCCAGGATTTTTGTTTTATGCCCTATTCATAGCTTTGTAGGTAGTTATTTATGAATGTAGATTTTAGAAAGTATTGTCAAAAAATAAAGTTTTATGCTTGAAGATAACTGAAATCATGTACTGATCAAAATGTACATATATACACGGAATGATAGATTTATTTTTATTATTCTTGAAAAGGGAAAAAATTGAAACCGAAATATAAATATAGAGATACATGTACTGATAAATCCTGTAAAACAATTTCCCAGTTAAAAAAAATCAAACTTTGAGGTGGGGTCAATATTCAACAGGGTCTATTTTCAACTTGCTGAGGTCATCGAGGATAAGGAAAAGAAATATCAAGCCGTTGAAAAATGACCCCGGGTCAATTTTCAACTGGGGTCAATATTCAACTTTACACAGGAAAGTGGTAGCGTTTCGAGTACAGAAGTTTGTTTGTTTTGCAAGTATATTACCTTGTATATATGATTGTACTATTATTGATTTTAAATCATTACTCGATTGAAAAAGAAATTTATATACAAGTATTTTCAGCACTCAACATTTTGTATAAATGTATAGATGAAGAGATAGCTTTCAAAATAAAACGGAAAAGAATGAATGACATAATTTTCATAGGAAAATTAGTTACAATTTATTAAATCATTCATATTTATCTAAAAGGCTGGATTTGAATCAAGGAAATGCAACACACAAACAAGTTCAGAGGATACATGAAGTGTATTTTTTAATGATGATTTTTAAGATTTTCTTTATACGCATTATTCTTTCTTTAACAGATTGATTGGATGGAAAATGTGAAGGGTTTGTATTTCTTTTTTTTATATACAATAGAACAATTATTATTTTTAAGCACTTTGTCATTTAGATGAAAACTTTTGTATATTTTAAAGTTATGCTTATTCCTTATTTGGTATTCCCCTGCATACGAAAACCAAAGACTAAAATTTGTTTTACATCTATAAGGTTTCTCAAGCAAGCAAACAAAGTCATATATTTTTTGGATTAGATGTAAACTATAATAGATGTCTTTGTTCATCGTGCTGTCTAATCTGCTTTCACCTGTTAGGGAGGATGGAATCAGCTGCTGAGCAAGTTTTAGACGGGATGCTGTTAGCAATCAATGTATCGGTATGCGTCTGTTTTTATTGAATAAACTTAACACCCTGCAACTTTGTATACAATGAAAATTATACACTAAAATAGTTAATCTTGTTGAATTTAGACATGCATAGCTGTGGCTTATAATTAAATTCTTTTGAAGGTTTCTTTGTAAAAGGGACATTTTTTTTCATTTAGTTACAGTACTGCTAAAAAATAATAATTAATCAGTAATTTTAATTGTAATTTTGTATCCCAAAGAATGCACAGCGGGGTATCATGGAATCAACTGTTCCAAGCAGTGTACCTTTTCAAGCTATGGACGCCATTGTCAGAGAGAGTGTGATTGTTCTTCAGAGCTTTTCTATGTTTTCATCGGATGTCTTCACATTCAGAGTGAACTGCACTGGAAACTACATATAATCGAATTATATATTAATATGTTTAGAATTACATAGATTGATCCAAATTGTAATATGTAGTGTATACTTGTATACTAATAAGAAAAAAGTAGGTATTTTTAATTATTTACTCTGACTGATTTATCACTATATTTTTGACAGCATAACAGAAATATACAGGACAATTTATAATTTAAAACCACAAACAAGAAGTCAAAATAGTAAAAATCCATCCTCTGGAGAACTTGATAACTATACTGCCAGATCAGCTTCAAATGCAGTAGTAATGTATACCAGCAAACAGATACCTCAATTGGATTCCAAAACTATCCAGTATACGGTCTTGGAAGATAGTAGACCAATCCTCTATGCGATTTTCTCTATTATTTTGCTTACTTTCATTCTGATATCTGTGTATATTATCAGGAAGAAAATTAAAAATTCACAATGCAACAAAAATCAGACGGAGAGAGATGAAAATGTACAAGGTACTGGTATCTATCAGGAAATAAATAATTACGACAGATTTGATCAAAACATTTCCTATAGTATGTGCAGGGAAAATAATGAAGAGGTGTTAGAGGAAAGTTCAGAATCAATTGAAAGTCAAGGTGAACTGGAAAGTAATAGAGGAAAGGGGATAATTCGGGAGAGTACGGAAGTGAAATCAACAAGTGTTTATTAATTGATTAATTGATAGTCTAAGTATGAATTGTAGACAATCACGGGCAATATATAACTCGTCATAAATGTATGTTCTGGTGAATAAACAGCTATCCTTTGAAAAAAAAAGATATCTACACTTTTGTGTAATGAAAACGCCAGTCTTTGTATAGATACAATTCCTCGTTGTTAATATTTCAACAAAATGTGCTTTTTTCAGTTACACTGTTATTTTCCACTGACTATGCAGAATAATGATTATTTTTAACTAATTCATAACATTAATGGGATTTTTTTCTTAACTGGAAGAAGCCAGACCTTTAAGATATTGCACGAAGCAGTGCA